CAGCGGACCGCACTGGAAGCCCACCAAATGGCTCTTTAACCTTTCATTTATTTATTTATTCATCCAGGTCTGCAAATATTTCTTGGTGTTCATCTCAGATAAATTAACAGGAGGAAGAAGCCTTAGTTATTTACGATATGGACTTGCTTTCAGGGGAACAGTCCAGAAAATTTCCTCAACATTGCTAATTTGTATTAAATGTTTCACTTCCTCCTGTTGCTTAGTTAAAATATGAGTGCGGGTAAATGCAACTTGGTTTGTTTCCACCTTTTTTTTTTTCTTTTTCTTTTGTACGTGTTTTCAGTACATAATATTTATCGTGGCGCGTTTGTAAATGTACGCAACGCATCTTAGTTCTTTTTATGTGCCTCCCCCCCACACCTCTCCTTGCTTTCTCCATCTCGTGTCCCCCATCCCACTTGTAAAAGCTGTATTTCCAACTCTTTCTACAGTCCCCTCCTTTTAATCCTTTTAACCTCTCATTTCTTGTTCCCCTTCCCATCGGAAAATGAGCTCCCTATCTATTATTATCTATTATTTTGCTGTTTATTTTGGGTTTCTCATGAGAGAAATGCAATGTGTAAACTTGTACATCTGATATATTTCACTTAACATTATGGTCTTGAGGTACATCCGTTTTCCTACAAATGACTCAAGTTTATCCTTCTATATGGCAGAGTAGTACTCCATTGTGTATAAGTACATTTTCGTTATTCATCTATTGATGGGCATATAGGTATTTCCAAGATATAGCTGTTTCCAAGATTTAGCTGTTATGAACTGTGCTGCTATAAATACGAGCATGCATGTGTCGCTATAATATGATATCTTTAACTCAGGAAGATATTCACAAGGGGAATAGCTCAGTCCCATGGAATTTCTATTTTTAATGTTTTGGGGAATCCCTTTACTGGTTTCCACAGTGGTTGTACTAGTTTATATTCCCACCAACAATATACAAGTGTTCCTTTTCCCCTGCAGCCTCGCCAGCATTTATTATTATTTGTTTTCTTGATGATGGCCATCACAGAGTTCTCAGGATCTATCACCCATTTTCAGCCACTACTAACATCCCATATGAGTGTAGGACATTTGTTAAAACCAGTGAACCAACATTGGTGTGTTATTCTTAAAGTCATTATTTGACTCAGATTTCCTTTTCACCTAGTGTCTTTGTTTCTGTTCCAGGACATCACACTGCTTTTTAGTCTTCATGTTGCCCTAGGCTTGTGAGCTGTGCAAACTGCTCACACTTCCCTCATTTTTGATGGCCTCTAGCCACAGTTTCCAGGAGTACTGCTCAGGTATTTTATAGGGTATCCCTCAACTGGAATTTCAGACAGCCCTTTTTAGAGCATGTCTTTGGACACTATAAATTACATACTTTTCACACTTCCATCTTTCATTCTCATTACCTTTTCTGTACTCAGCTCTGTTCTTCATCCATGTCTAAGAACCATCAGGAGATAGCAGAAATTGATTCTCTCACAGTTCAGGAGGCTGAAGTTCAAAAAAATCAAGGTGTTGACATGGCCACGTTCCCTCTGGGGATCGGGAGACTGTCTTTTGCCTAAATGGCTTCTGGTGGCTATCAGCAGTTTTTGTCCTATGGATGTCTCACTCTAGTCTCTTCCACTGTGGTCACATTATCTTTGCCTTTAAGTCTCCCTTGTGTGTCTCTCATAAGAAAACTTACTGCATTTAGGTTCCAGGTAGAAGGAGATAATTCAGGATGAACTTATTACGCCTTTAATTATGTCTGCAAAACTCTTTCCCCAATTAAGGTAATGTTAATGGATTCCAGAGTTTATCAGTTTATTCCAGAGTTTTACCATCTTGAGATCTGTAGGCCAGTATTCAGATTATTAAAGTCCATCCATTGTTTTCATATTTCAAAATACTCGTGGTTGTTTCCTAGAGGTTAGGCAGTTTTATGTTATGGATTTTTTCATGACATTTTCATAGTAAAAGTACTTTTTCTGTTTCAACTCAAACATAACCTGAATATTCAAGTAAAGAGTGCAGGTAATATGTAACTTCAGACACTTGTCACTTTATTATAAGTGAAAGTGATCTTAGATTTGGAGAACTGGAAAATAATGGACAAATTCAGAAACATTATTCCAAAACATTTATTAAAATGATGCTTTTGAATCTTAGAATTCATAAGCAACCTGTCAGTCTCTCAGTTATTCAGCAGTTGACAGGTGCTGGCTGGGAAGTGGGCTGGGCACGGCTCTACGTGTGACTTTTCCTTGTAGCCTGATCTTCCTTCCAGCATGGGAGCCCCGGGAAGTCAGCCAAACCTTTTCTGTAGTGGCGCAAAGTGTCATAAATGACAGTCTCAGCTGGCAAAATAGATTCCCTTTTGTAGCATACCCTATGAACCAAAATAGCGTCAAATTCGGCAATACACTTTTGGATGAACTAGCCGAAAGTCCACCCACATTCAAGGGGAGATGCCATATGCTCCACCCCTCAAAAGAGAGAAGTGTCAGTTTGGGGCCATATTTAAAAACAGCCATGTAAGCTTTCATGCCAGTTGAATTATTATTCTTCCTCAATAATGTCTCCCTGAAAAGGTCACTGACTTCAGAATAGTGTAGTATTACCTACATGGCAACAATCCCCAAGTTGTGTGTTGTGATCAGTTTGTGATTCTCAACCTTGTCTAGTATGTTAGAATCACCTGGGAAGATCTGCAAAAATTCTAGTACTTGAACCTCACATCCAGATATTTCTATTTTTCTTTTGGTCTGGAGTTTGACTTGGGTATTACATGTTCTTCAACACCATGCTAGCCATATGCTTCCTCATTGATTTTCTTCAGTGTTTCTGATTCAGTGGTTTTAGCAGTGGATCCTCAGATCTTGTCACTGAGCACAGGAAGAGTGGGGCAGGTGTGCTACCCTCTGGGGGAGGTGTAGAGTTAGAAAAGGGCTGGGTCTTGCTGGCTCATGGCTGTGTCACTGGTTTTGGAGAGGAGATAATGAGAAATCTGATGGGTGAGGTGAGGTTGTAACAAGAGTGAGTAACAAGGTCTGTGAGCAGGAGACTACACGGAGATATGTCTGTGCAAACAATGTACTGCTTCTCAAACCTGTAAATAGTATTTTATCCTTTTGGAGTTCCAGATCCCAAGATTTACAGAAACAAGAGGTGTATCATACTTCACAGAAAGAATACACTGGTGAAGAAGAATTTGTGTCGGTTCTAGGGCAAGGCAGCCTGTTCCTTTTCTTTTACTATTGCAAGCAATGGAAATGAACTGGCCTTGGTGTGGCATCTGTGTTCAAAAGTTCAGTCACAAAAGTAACTGGAAACTGATTTTGCAGCACACAAGGAATAGAGAACTTAGCTTCATATCTTGGCAGTTCCCAAGCTTCAGTTTGACTCGTAGTTGTCTTTGTAGTCCTTGTCCTCTTCCTCTTCCTTTTTCTTCCCCTCCCGTTCCCCTCCCCTCCCCTTCCCCCTGTACTTCTTCTGTTCCCCTCTGCTCCCCCTTCTCTTTCTCCTGTTAGTGACGATGTCTCACCAAGTTGCCCAGGCTGACCTTGAGCTTGTCAATTACTTGCCTCAACCTCCTGGGTTGCTGGGCTGTGTACCACTGTGCCGAGATAACCATTCTCAAACTGAAGGGTGCTACTTTAAATGGCCTTCGTCTTCAGCCATTCATTGATCTAAGAATGTGATACATTTGCTTCTCTGCTAGCAAAACTGCTAGCAAGTTTAGAGAAGGCAGAGCATTTGGCTGACTAGAAAAAATGTGAGGGGGATGAGTCTGTGATTGGTTCCTGCCAATGACCTTAGCAATGATAAAAAGAAAATAATTCCAAAGGGCAGTTATGGCTCCCAAGTCAAATGACATCCAGATGTCTAGCTGTTCAGAGGGAGATGCTTTAGCCGTGATTGTAAGTGCTACAAGGGGCAGAGGAATTCATTCTTTATTGTCTACAAACTCATGGGAATCCTTAGCACTATGGAGCAAGATTGTATTTTTAAAAAAATACGTGATTTGATTTTCACTAAATGAAGAGACTGTACTTGGTGTGCATGTGTGTGTATCTGAGTGCACTTGGAGAGCAGGGATGGGACGGGTTGTGCTGAATCAAACATTTTAGGTCACAGCAGACTGGATGAATTTTAGTTGGGTATTTCTGGAACTAGTGTGGGACTGGAGACTGTATAATGGGGCATCCTTTACATGGTGGAACATTTATGTGCAGGCTTCAGCATGGCTGGCTGGAGCCCCATGGTGGGTAGGACCAAAAATGAGACTGAGAAAATGGGTAACACATGCTTTCCTGAATCTCCAGAATCTTACTAGAAATGAAGGAGTTAATTTTGAGGAGTAGAGAAACAGATTCTA